AAAAAAAAAAAAAAAAAAAGCTTCCAACCTGGCATAAAAACAGCAAAAGATTAAAAGGCAAGTATGCCTGGGAGGTAACCAATTCCTCGTTAAAGGTGCAGATACACAGTGAAAGCCCAGCGCAGAGCTGAAGACCTTCAGTATATCCCAGCAATCAATAACTAGCTTTGTAGAGCTAAATGCACCTTTCCAGCACACTTACAAGCCAGTCAACAAAGGAAATTCAACACTGTGTCTGAGTGTCCCAGAAGAGGATGGCATAAATATTCGGTGGTGCTAGCGACAGTCATCAGTGTTGAATGGTTACTTTTTATTAAGGTCTGTGACTCTGGTGCAAACTTTCCTTAACTACCTGCCTGTCACAACCATTGTCAGCAGGACAAGACGTGAGGACAAACCTCTCTAATAAACCCTCATGATGGCAGTAAAAACCCCACAGGAGTTCTAACCCTTCCTTGCTCTATCCAAAATGTAAAAAAACAGTTTTGGCTGGAAATACATTTTAATTGTTCCGTTAAATCTTAAGATTTTTTTTTTCCCAAACAATCAAAAATTTTTAAATGTCTTAAATTCTAGCAGCATAAATGAGTTTATATTAGAATGGCCTTTATTTTTTTTTTTTAAATGTACTCAATTAGGAATATAAAACTAAAAAACAAAACCAATAAGTTGTCTCAATATTCATAGTGTAAGATTACTCATAACTTCAATTTACAAATTATTCTGTTTAGTACTACAAGAAATGCCAACCCAACCACTTTAAACTCACCACTTCAGGATATGTTTGTTTTTGCAAAGATTCTCAGTCTGGTCCCCCAGCAGATCCAGTACTGCCCCTGCTGCTGCCTGCTCAAAGCTGCTGCCTCCGATACTCAGTCTATAATAAAATAAAGATTAAAAAGAGGAACATTTAAATCTATGATTAACAGAATGGTAAAACAAAGATATGCTCAGTAACTATAAAAAAACAAAAAAACCCGATAAAGTAATCATGTCATAGACCTTATGCAATTCCATGTCATAGACCTTATGCAATTCCAATGAGCAAATTCTGAAAAATACGCATGAGCAGCTTGAATTGTTCAGGTTTGTAATTACTTTACTTTAGCTGCAGCCAACAATACTGTGTACAACTATACTTATAAACTCTAAAAGGGTCAGGCCACCCAAAACTCAAATTTTTTCCAACTTAATCAAGCTTAATTTGAAATAACCATTGAATAACAAGCCAAGCTTTCCTAAGAAGACTTAAAAGGACTGTAAGTGACAATAAAAGTGAAGGTTATAGAAATAAAGTAATATTATAGGCATATGTGGTAGAGCCTGATAGGCAGAGTCAGGGCCTGGCATTATTTTTGTCTTCAACACTGCAACATTGAGATTGCATTCCCAACTCTGTTCCTGCCCACATATATGCAACAAGTCAACATTTATTTTCTATCCTTTTAAACATAATAGAAGTGTTGGGAGAAAATGTAAGCGAATCTTAAAGGGGACTTTGTTACCTTGCCCATTCAGGACAAAGCAGTTATGTATTTGTAAAGGCCCTTTCTGCCCCGAATTATACTCACCTTACCAGCGCTTCCTCATAGCTCCTGCCTCCACTGCAGACAGTAAGGAAATCTGAGGTGTCGCCTATGTCATCATGTGAGCGTGCTCAGGCCTAGTGACTGGCTGCTAGATAGTGTATGAGAACAGTCACTAGGAGAAGGTCACATGCTCCTCCACACCTTGAAGCACCGTTTTTCTTCTTTTTTATGCAGCAGTGGAGTGGAAAAAGAGCACAATAAGGCAAGTATAACTGGGGTGGGGGGGTCCTTAAAAACACAGGAAAGAAAATGGAAATGTTCATATTCAATATTTGGCAATGAAAGTTCACTTTCTGTATGCCTAGCTTTACCCTTTTTCACTCTCAAAGTCCTTTGGTTTGTATGGGATGTAATACTCTGCATCCTGAGTAGTATCCGTTTTATTTTTCTTTCTGCTTTCAGCGTCAGCCCCATCTGACCTCTTCCTCTTTCCAACCACTTGTGAGAAAACCCCCTGGTAAAGATAGACACAGAACGTCATGGCAAAAAATGTCACAGACAGCAATCCATTGTAATATTCGGAGCTGTATCAGTTACCTCTATATTTTCTTCAGAACTGTCTTGGCTGGCTGACAGATCAGGTTTAACACTGGCTGGGGACCGTGCTGTACTATTTGCTTTCTCTTCCTGCAAACGCTGGAACTTGGAGATGACCTTACAATCTTGATTTCTCTTGGCACGCATCACTTCACTGGCAGTTGTCTTATTGGTCGCATTAATTTCAAAGATTGTCTAAGGACGAAATTATGAGCAAATTACAAAAGTAATTGCATTCAATGAAATAAAAACACACGATTAAAGTACTTATTCAAATCCTTTAACACAATGGAATCCCTCATTACAGTGACAATGTAACTGTTTTCAAAGTGTTTTGGAGTTCCACTTCACTAGGACAAATGGACAAAAGGATCAAATGGCTTCCAGGGTGCAAGCAGTCTGACAAGGAAGGTCTAGCTCTGTCTCTGCCGATCCTAACTAGGGGCACAACTGGATGTGTATCCTGCATTTCTGGCTAAGTGCTAAACCCTTTTAAGCTGTGCATGTCACTTGTGAATTATGAAAAACTTACTTGTGAACCCATTTATGCAGTATATTAATGTACAGTCCTATTTTTTTGTCTATCCTCTCAATGAACATGAAAAATAAATAAAAATACAGCAATAGCTTACCCAGGAACAAGAGACCAGCCTCAAACTTTGTTCTCTACATGGTAAGTCATTGACTGACATGTGTGTGCACATCAGGTGTGGGGAAGCCCGATAATGCAAACTTAGTGTGGGTCAGTGACCCACTAAACAATAAAGAATGACAAATGCAGAACCTACATCTTTAACCCTTACACTGCCACCGACATAAGGGTTATGGAGGAACAGAAAAGCTTGCAGCTGGGCAGCTCATTAACCCTCAATAACTTCAATCCATTCCCTTCTGCTATAAGCTTATGGTCACTTCAGCAACCTTAAACTTTTAACAAAAGGGTCCCCCAGACTCTGTTGATTATTGAATAAGCTTGTCAGCTCCTGATCGCAGACCTTTATAAAAACTGTGACTGCCCCTGCCGGTCCAGTGTGCCCTCCTCCCTCCATGTGCCTCCATCATTGCTCAGGAGGGCTCATTGTGTCCCTTCACACAGCGCTGCTCTTTCCACAACCCGTGTGTGATCTCCTCCTGCACTGCCTCTGTCCCCAAGCTGCAGATTAGACCCGGAGGCTCAAGTTGGTGTATATACTGTTACCAGGGGACTTGTCATCCTCTTGCAATACACAAAAAAAAAAAAAAATTACACAACCCTGCCCCCTCCATAGACACTCACAAATTACACAAACGCATAACCTAGTTTTGTATTTTTTAACCACTTTACAAAAAGTCACAATTTGAAATGTATAAATATTTGTTTTTTATTAAAATCAGCAATTTTTTATTCTTTTGTAAATTATGTTGGGTGCGCCAATAATGATTCTAGTATATTTCAAGTGAAAATACAGTTGCGATACATTTGCGCAACTATCACGGGACCTACAAAATCAGTAGCACAATTTTTTTATTCTACCGAGTACTCTATTGTGTACATATAGAAAATGTATGGTTTAGGGTCTTTTAGGTCTTTTCCCAATCATTCATTATTTGTTAATGGAAAAAATACAAAACACAAAAATCTGAAAAACTGCAAAAATGTTCTGCCCACCTGAGGTGAAAAAGGGAGAGCAGGGCCCGGCAGCAAAAAGGTTAAAAGCAAGTCACCAATAACAGCTCATACATTTCTCTTCTAACAGGTCCCTTTTAAAGCTAAAGCAAATGCCAATTGTAACGCAACTAACCGCTTTTGATTTATAAGATTTAATGCTGTCCACAAACTTCAGTCTCTGCATTTCTTCCCCACCAAGACGAGACCCTGTAAAAGGAACAAATATAAGGCAAGAAGAGATTAGATAAAAAGACCAGAATTTATGGATAGCCAAGTAAGAAATAAGTAAGAGACATACAATGGCACAGCATCCATATGTATGGGTGACAGGCAAAGTGCAAACAGAGATCAAGTAGAGTGTTAAGGTTACTCACAGAACAAGGGGTGCACTCCCAACAGGTTGTAATTGGCTTCTTTGACACGTTTTATAGACTCTGGAGCTGGGGCTGGTCTGGATTTGCTGTATTGTTTGTAAGCATTTTCAGAGATGCGATGCAGGTTCTGCAGCTCTAAAGATCTCTCATGGTCTGTGATTAGCAGAGCATCTTCATCATCTATCAAACTTTGTGGAACTCGTCCTAGAACACCATCTGCATCCAGATCTATAGATGGAGGAACAACATGAAGGGACCTATATACTTTTTTCAGGCTTTAAGGATTACCACTAGCAGGACTTTATGATGTACCTAAATCAGCCTGTGGGTCTGCCAGTTTCAGTGGTCTTCCTAGAAAGAGGTGAAGATCATACACATAAGGCGTTTCATCAGGAGCTATCAGAGAATAAGCTGTGCCGCTCCGACCTGCTCTAGCCACACGACCTGTTTAAAAGAAGGAAGAAATTCATAAAATTACCCCAAAATTGATCATACACTTTCAATTCCTATTGCATTCAATCAGAAGATCTAATTACATCCTTACCCACACGATGCAGGAAAAGTTTGCCTTTGGGAGGGAAGTTATAATTGATGACATTGTCAAGCATAGGTATATCAATACCGCGAGCTGCCACATCTGTGACCAATAAAGCGTTTACTTTTCCATGCAGAAACAAACCCAGGTTAATCTTTCTGGCAGTCTGATCAAGAGAGCTGTATATATGGGAACATGGGATACTCTGCATATCCAGCATCTAGGTGGCAAGAAAAAAAAAAGACACATTACACGTAAACAGTAGTGTGAAGAGGATTTTCAGTTGCAAATGGAAAGGAAAAAAAAAACAAACAAACATTCAGCTAAAATGGTTCTTGACAGAGTAAAGAGAAAACCTGTCCGCTATGTTCCTCAAAGTAATTTATATTACAGTAGTTTAAATACACTATTTAAACTGGTAAAAGCACCAAAACTGGTCATTTATAGCCAGTAGAGTTGGGCTACGGTCAACCATGACTTGGAGCAAAAAAAAAAAACCTCAAGTCTTATAGTTGCATTATATTAGTGGTTCAACTACCTTACTTGGGGTAATCTACTCTTTACTCCGACCATTTACACAGTAGTTTACATTTTTTTTATATAGGACCACCCAATTGACTGTTGTATCCTCCTTTTCCATTTATTACTGCCACTACTGTATGCACTGGATCTAAAAACAGGTTATTGTAGACACTTGTACCTATATGATATGCCATGTGTTCAATCTCACCCCTGAGTGGAGAGGTCCCCCTTCTGTATTAAATACCTGCACCTTATTTATCCCTTCTCACATATTTAACTGAAGTTACAAGTTTATGATTTATGTGTGGCCTTTAAAGCGGTTATGATGCTATGTCTATATAACACTCAATTATTTGTCATGATTAATGGCGCATTTGTTAGAAGCCTGTTCTTATTGATCCTGTGATAAACATGATGTGTCATCTTTAATAAAGAAATAAAAAAAATGTTGCGAAATTTATACTTATTTAATTAAAAGAACTTCCATATACTAGCTATAGTGACTGCTTACTGATGTGAAGGTCTTTTTTTTCCCCTCCCATTCTGTTTTTACCCTAACTGGATTGCTCAGCCAGGTCCAGAGTAAAAGTTCACTTCTTATAGCAGAACTGCTTTTTCACAAAAACTAGACCCATTTGTGCTTGTCCCAGCAGCATGCAAGAAAAATGTCAATGTGATGGGTCACCTTTACTGAAGAAAAATCCTGTTTTCAGCAATACAGCCTGTAGCCTCCTGAGTACATACTGCTGTGCTTTGAAAATGCATTCACAAGAGACATACGGCTCATTAAGCTCAATACAGAGCAAGTATCCCGTCTCCAAAATGTACGCTCTGCTGGTGCCCATAACAGCATGTTTACAGCAAAGATGGGCCACAGACAGGCTCAAACCGTACCGCTGGAAACAGGATTCGTTTCAATAAAGATAATTCATCATAACTGGATTTTTTTCACAGTCTACAGGAACAAATGTATAATATCAGAGGGTACAGTCATTCTTTAGTGTATGACCTGAGGTCAATATAGTCTCCATTTATTCCTAGGTTTTAAAGCGGACCTTTACTCATATCTTTTAAATAACAAACAACACACCTTTAGAAATGTTTAGTAATGACAATCTACAAACACATACTTCTAGATAATTGCTGGCTTTGTATTCTTTGCATACCTTATTTCTCTTTCCCAGTCTTCTGACAGTGGCCATGTTTACTAAGGACAGATTACTAGTTATCCTATTACTTCCTGGATTTCTGGCACATGTGACTAGGACATGTGACCATGCACATGATCTCAGGGGAGGAAAATGCCTTTTCCTGAGATCTCATGAGATTTCCCAGCAGTACTCTGCTGATGACTAGGCAATCCCAGTGTGCATTGCGTTGGCAAATTGAAGTAATTTGCACTTTCAAAGCAGAAAGTGAATGCTCTGCAAGTGTAAGTATTTCAAAATCACAGCATTTTACACCTGACATGTCTGTGTTATTATTAATTGTTAAATGGCTCTTTTTCAAATTGGTCTAAGGTTGAGAGTGGCGTGCCCCAGGGTTGTGCTAGGCCCTATACTGTGTAACCTGTTTATTAACGATATCGGGGAGGGTGTTAATGTTTGCTGATGATACTAAAAATCAGGAGGGTAATAGACACGGACTTCAACATTATAACATTACAGGCGGACCTGGATAAAATAGGGGAGTGGGCAACTATATGGCAGATGAGGTTTAATGTTGAAAAATGTAAAGTAATGCATTTTGGTGTTAAAAATAGGAAAGTGGAATACACATTAATGGGAACTCCACAAGGGAGTCAGAAACGGAAAAATATTTGGGGGTCATAGTGGACCACAGATTGAATAACAGCATGCAATGCCAGGGTGGGGAAAGCAAAGCAAGCAGAGCATGTTCGGCTGACCGAAGTGCAGCCGAAATCAGCCGTACAAGCCAAAGGTGAATAGCCAAATGTAGTTCGGCTCACTTCACTTCGGCTGGGTTATTCACTCGGCAGCTGAGTGAATAACCCTTTATGAGACAAGGTTGCTAAATTTAATAGCATTTTATTGCAACATCAGCAATAAAGTTTTTACTGTAAACCCCCTAACAAAGACTAGAGGCCACCACCTGAAATTGGTGGAGAAAAGATTTAAACGCAAAGGGTGTAGGGGCTTCTTTTCAGTCAGAAAAGTTACATTTTGGAACTCTCTTCCACAAGCAGTGGTATCAGCAGAGAGTATTGAATCGTTCAAAAATCAGATACCTTCCTCAGAGACCATAATATACAGGGGTACAGGTACTCTTAAAAACTAAGACCACACAGGATATACACACACATGCGCACATGTTGAACTTGATGGACCTGTGTCTTTATTCAACCTCAAATACTATGTAAAGGTCAGCTTTAGGTTGGATATATCCCCACATAATTCAGCATAAATGAAAATAATCCATAACAATTTGGATATACATGCTTCTGTTTTAGCACTGACCTCTCTCAGATACTCAGCATGGTGTTTGGTGGCCACAAAGATGACTGTTTGTTCCTGAGGTTTTATAATGCAGCGCAAAAGATGTAAAAGAACAGCAGGTTTATCTTCGGCCCTCACGTTAAAAAATGCCAGCTTAGATAGGATGGAAAAAAGAAAAAAAAAGTATTAGTAGCAGCTCTTTTGGAAATGCAGGGCTCCCTGTACCTTATTCCATCACTTTACCTTTAATTGATCATTTAGCTTTGTGTCAACATCTAGACGGATTAGCACAGGTTCAGTAAGACCTACAGTTGGGGAAAGAAAATACTCTGATCATACAACTTTCAACCACCTTTGTAAAATGTATCATGGTGACAGTAAAATCCTTTTCATTGGAGAACCTTACAGGAGACACATTAGAGGTTAATGCCCTGTCTGTAGGATGTTGGACATTAAACAAGGTTGCTCTCGCCTGTGGCCGATACCTTCCCCTACATAAAATACCTAATCAGCTTTTCCCCAAGACAAGCTGATTAGGTATTCCCCAAATATGAATGCATATTTTCAGAGCTATGCTTTTCCAAAGGGTTCAATCCACCAAGAATGGGAAATAAAAAAAAAAAAAAAATTACACAACCCTGCCCCCTCCATAGACACTCACAAATTACACAAACGCATAACCTAGTTTTGTATTTTTTAACCACTTTACAAAAAGTCACAATTTGAAATGTATAAATATTTGTTTTTTATTAAAATCAGCAATTTTTTATTCTTTTGTAAATTATGTTGGGTGCGCCAATAATGATTCTAGTATATTTCAAGTGAAAATACAGTTGCGATACATTTGCGCAACTATCACGGGACCTACAAAATCAGTAGCACAATTTTTTTATTCTACCGAGTACTCTATTGTGTACATATAGAAAATGTATGGTTTAGGGTCTTTTAGGTCTTTTCCCAATCATTCATTATTTGTTAATGGAAAAAATACAAAACACAAAAATCTGAAAAACTGCAAAAATGTTCTGCCCACCTGAGGTGAAAAAGGGAGAGCAGGGCCCGGCAGCAAAAAGGTTAAAAGCAAGTCACCAATAACAGCTCATACATTTCTCTTCTAACAGGTCCCTTTTAAAGCTAAAGCAAATGCCAATTGTAACGCAACTAACCGCTTTTGATTTATAAGATTTAATGCTGTCCACAAACTTCAGTCTCTGCATTTCTTCCCCACCAAGACGAGACCCTGTAAAAGGAACAAATATAAGGCAAGAAGAGATTAGATAAAAAGACCAGAATTTATGGATAGCCAAGTAAGAAATAAGTAAGAGACATACAATGGCACAGCATCCATATGTATGGGTGACAGGCAAAGTGCAAACAGAGATCAAGTAGAGTGTTAAGGTTACTCACAGAACAAGGGGTGCACTCCCAACAGGTTGTAATTGGCTTCTTTGACACGTTTTATAGACTCTGGAGCTGGGGCTGGTCTGGATTTGCTGTATTGTTTGTAAGCATTTTCAGAGATGCGATGCAGGTTCTGCAGCTCTAAAGATCTCTCATGGTCTGTGATTAGCAGAGCATCTTCATCATCTATCAAACTTTGTGGAACTCGTCCTAGAACACCATCTGCATCCAGATCTATAGATGGAGGAACAACATGAAGGGACCTATATACTTTTTTCAGGCTTTAAGGATTACCACTAGCAGGACTTTATGATGTACCTAAATCAGCCTGTGGGTCTGCCAGTTTCAGTGGTCTTCCTAGAAAGAGGTGAAGATCATACACATAAGGCGTTTCATCAGGAGCTATCAGAGAATAAGCTGTGCCGCTCCGACCTGCTCTAGCCACACGACCTGTTTAAAAGAAGGAAGAAATTCATAAAATTACCCCAAAATTGATCATACACTTTCAATTCCTATTGCATTCAATCAGAAGATCTAATTACATCCTTACCCACACGATGCAGGAAAAGTTTGCCTTTGGGAGGGAAGTTATAATTGATGACATTGTCAAGCATAGGTATATCAATACCGCGAGCTGCCACATCTGTGACCAATAAAGCGTTTACTTTTCCATGCAGAAACAAACCCAGGTTAATCTTTCTGGCAGTCTGATCAAGAGAGCTGTATATATGGGAACATGGGATACTCTGCATATCCAGCATCTAGGTGGCAAGAAAAAAAAAAGACACATTACACGTAAACAGTAGTGTGAAGAGGATTTTCAGTTGCAAATGGAAAGGAAAAAAAAAACAAACAAACATTCAGCTAAAATGGTTCTTGACAGAGTAAAGAGAAAACCTGTCCGCTATGTTCCTCAAAGTAATTTATATTACAGTAGTTTAAATACACTATTTAAACTGGTAAAAGCACCAAAACTGGTCATTTATAGCCAGTAGAGTTGGGCTACGGTCAACCATGACTTGGAGCAAAAAAAAAAAACCTCAAGTCTTATAGTTGCATTATATTAGTGGTTCAACTACCTTACTTGGGGTAATCTACTCTTTACTCCGACCATTTACACAGTAGTTTACATTTTTTTTATATAGGACCACCCAATTGACTGTTGTATCCTCCTTTTCCATTTATTACTGCCACTACTGTATGCACTGGATCTAAAAACAGGTTATTGTAGACACTTGTACCTATATGATATGCCATGTGTTCAATCTCACCCCTGAGTGGAGAGGTCCCCCTTCTGTATTAAATACCTGCACCTTATTTATCCCTTCTCACATATTTAACTGAAGTTACAAGTTTATGATTTATGTGTGGCCTTTAAAGCGGTTATGATGCTATGTCTATATAACACTCAATTATTTGTCATGATTAATGGCGCATTTGTTAGAAGCCTGTTCTTATTGATCCTGTGATAAACATGATGTGTCATCTTTAATAAAGAAATAAAAAAAATGTTGCGAAATTTATACTTATTTAATTAAAAGAACTTCCATATACTAGCTATAGTGACTGCTTACTGATGTGAAGGTCTTTTTTTTCCCCTCCCATTCTGTTTTTACCCTAACTGGATTGCTCAGCCAGGTCCAGAGTAAAAGTTCACTTCTTATAGCAGAACTGCTTTTTCACAAAAACTAGACCCATTTGTGCTTGTCCCAGCAGCATGCAAGAAAAATGTCAATGTGATGGGTCACCTTTACTGAAGAAAAATCCTGTTTTCAGCAATACAGCCTGTAGCCTCCTGAGTACATACTGCTGTGCTTTGAAAATGCATTCACAAGAGACATACGGCTCATTAAGCTCAATACAGAGCAAGTATCCCGTCTCCAAAATGTACGCTCTGCTGGTGCCCATAACAGCATGTTTACAGCAAAGATGGGCCACAGACAGGCTCAAACCGTACCGCTGGAAACAGGATTCGTTTCAATAAAGATAATTCATCATAACTGGATTTTTTTCACAGTCTACAGGAACAAATGTATAATATCAGAGGGTACAGTCATTCTTTAGTGTATGACCTGAGGTCAATATAGTCTCCATTTATTCCTAGGTTTTAAAGCGGACCTTTACTCATATCTTTTAAATAACAAACAACACACCTTTAGAAATGTTTAGTAATGACAATCTACAAACACATACTTCTAGATAATTGCTGGCTTTGTATTCTTTGCATACCTTATTTCTCTTTCCCAGTCTTCTGACAGTGGCCATGTTTACTAAGGACAGATTACTAGTTATCCTATTACTTCCTGGATTTCTGGCACATGTGACTAGGACATGTGACCATGCACATGATCTCAGGGGAGGAAAATGCCTTTTCCTGAGATCTCATGAGATTTCCCAGCAGTACTCTGCTGATGACTAGGCAATCCCAGTGTGCATTGCGTTGGCAAATTGAAGTAATTTGCACTTTCAAAGCAGAAAGTGAATGCTCTGCAAGTGTAAGTATTTCAAAATCACAGCATTTTACACCTGACATGTCTGTGTTATTATTAATTGTTAAATGGCTCTTTTTCAAATTGGTCTAAGGTTGAGAGTGGCGTGCCCCAGGGTTGTGCTAGGCCCTATACTGTGTAACCTGTTTATTAACGATATCGGGGAGGGTGTTAATGTTTGCTGATGATACTAAAAATCAGGAGGGTAATAGACACGGACTTCAACATTATAACATTACAGGCGGACCTGGATAAAATAGGGGAGTGGGCAACTATATGGCAGATGAGGTTTAATGTTGAAAAATGTAAAGTAATGCATTTTGGTGTTAAAAATAGGAAAGTGGAATACACATTAATGGGAACTCCACAAGGGAGTCAGAAACGGAAAAATATTTGGGGGTCATAGTGGACCACAGATTGAATAACAGCATGCAATGCCAGGGTGGGGAAAGCAAAGCAAGCAGAGCATGTTCGGCTGACCGAAGTGCAGCCGAAATCAGCCGTACAAGCCAAAGGTGAATAGCCAAATGTAGTTCGGCTCACTTCACTTCGGCTGGGTTATTCACTCGGCAGCTGAGTGAATAACCCTTTATGAGACAAGGTTGCTAAATTTAATAGCATTTTATTGCAACATCAGCAATAAAGTTTTTACTGTAAACCCCCTAACAAAGACTAGAGGCCACCACCTGAAATTGGTGGAGAAAAGATTTAAACGCAAAGGGTGTAGGGGCTTCTTTTCAGTCAGAAAAGTTACATTTTGGAACTCTCTTCCACAAGCAGTGGTATCAGCAGAGAGTATTGAATCGTTCAAAAATCAGATACCTTCCTCAGAGACCATAATATACAGGGGTACAGGTACTCTTAAAAACTAAGACCACACAGGATATACACACACATGCGCACATGTTGAACTTGATGGACCTGTGTCTTTATTCAACCTCAAATACTATGTAAAGGTCAGCTTTAGGTTGGATATATCCCCACATAATTCAGCATAAATGAAAATAATCCATAACAATTTGGATATACATGCTTCTGTTTTAGCACTGACCTCTCTCAGATACTCAGCATGGTGTTTGGTGGCCACAAAGATGACTGTTTGTTCCTGAGGTTTTATAATGCAGCGCAAAAGATGTAAAAGAACAGCAGGTTTATCTTCGGCCCTCACGTTAAAAAATGCCAGCTTAGATAGGATGGAAAAAAGAAAAAAAAAGTATTAGTAGCAGCTCTTTTGGAAATGCAGGGCTCCCTGTACCTTATTCCATCACTTTACCTTTAATTGATCATTTAGCTTTGTGTCAACATCTAGACGGATTAGCACAGGTTCAGTAAGACCTACAGTTGGGGAAAGAAAATACTCTGATCATACAACTTTCAACCACCTTTGTAAAATGTATCATGGTGACAGTAAAATCCTTTTCATTGGAGAACCTTACAGGAGACACATTAGAGGTTAATGCCCTGTCTGTAGGATGTTGGACATTAAACAAGGTTGCTCTCGCCTGTGGCCGATACCTTCCCCTACATAAAATACCTAATCAGCTTTTCCCCAAGACAAGCTGATTAGGTATTCCCCAAATATGAATGCATATTTTCAGAGCTATGCTTTTCCAAAGGGTTCAATCCACCAAGAATGGGAAATAGAGTGTCCATTTCTTCTATATTTCACTTCTGTCTCCTTTAGCCAATGTAATGATGCATCACAGAAGACAAGGCTTTTCTAGTGGATGTAAGAGTTAAAAAGAAGGCAGTAGGTGCCTGAAAATGGCAGACTGTAAGGCAGGCTATTTATTTTTGGATACAGGCACCTCGGACAAAAAGGACAAGTTCTACTGAAGGAAGACTAAAAGTCATACATTGTAGTATTAAGGTGAATATAAAATTATATTAAGCGCAATTCTATCGTTTACATTTACTTTCTAATCTCTGAAATAAAAAGTGGACTGTTTGCCTATGTTATATATATAGCTTACATCACACTCCAACCACTTATACTCCAAAGATGTTCTGTGTCCTTGGATAAATGATCATAACATTTTAGATTAGAGCAGTGGATTTATCTATCTTACCTGCACGGGCAAATTCTAGCAGCATCTTGGGTAGAGTGGCTGAGAAAAGCAAGGTCTGGCGGGCTTCTGGAAGACGAGCAAGGATCTCCTGCAGCTGCTCAGCAAACCCCATTTCAAAAAGTCTTTGACAAGTATAAAAAAAGAGGCAATAAGCAAGTGACAAGCAGTGCAAGTTATCTGCAGTACACAAAAAGCAACTCACCTGTCTGCTTCATCAAAGACCACATACTCAACACTGCGTAACTTCAGATTCATCTCCACTGCCACGTGCATGAGACGACCAGGGGTAGCAAGGATTCTAAATTTAAAAATACACATTTTAGGTACAATATCATGTACAAGCATAGCCAGTGCCTGGTTGGTGCATACACTGAAAGAAAAATTACTTACATATCAGGGTTTTCATGTAGCGCAGCAAACTGATCTTCCATCCTACAGGAAAAGATACAATGATGTATTGTTGAATGTACTACAGATTAATAATGTCATTGACAGAGTTAATCTATTAAAGTGAACATGTCAGCCATTTTAAACATTTAAAAGTAAATATCCTGCCCAAGAACAGACACAATTTACCTGCTAATACATGTGTTAAGTGGAAAGACCTCCTCTGTGTGCCTTTTGGTTGCACAATGTTACTTGAGGCCTGTTACACCAACTGCCACCCATACGACGTATAAGAGTGGCTCAGTGGACAATAATAGCCCTCGCAAAGGGCAGGGTTTAGTTCTGAATTCTTGCTACTATTACAGTAAAACTAGTTTTAAATTTTTTTTGAAAAATACCGCTAAAGGTTTTCTGGTACACTGCGATACCTACATTTTGCTGAACCTTTACTTTCAAATGTCTACAATGGCTATCTTAAAGTACCATAGTGTTGGTGTTAAAAAAAATGCATAGAAACATCTCTTTTACCATTTATTTAGTAAGAAAGAAAGTTGTAAAACGTACTTGTCTCCACCCAATATAAGGGCAGTCTTCAAACCAGTAAATTTTCCAAGCTGTAAAGAGAAGATCATTAATAATGTTACTTTTATATAATGGAAAATATTCACAACAATGAAGTGGTAACAGTCAGTATAGGCAAATGAGAACCATAATAAGCTCTGCTAGTAATCAGTCATTGTACCTCTTTGGTGAACTTCAGAGTCTGCAGGGCAAGTTCTCTGGTAGGTGATAAAATAAGTCCACGGACACCAGTTTGTGCACTGTGAGCCTTCAGCTTCTCAAACATAGGGATGAGGAAGCAAGCAGTTTTACCACTGCCAGTTCGTCCCATAGCTACGACATCCTTGCCATCCAGAATGACAGGAATTACCTAGCATGAAGATGGGATAGAGGCATTATATTTATGCTGAGACACAAGTTTGGTACAGAAACCAACATGCCATGATGTATCAGAAGAGGCTAAGTGATACCCTCACCTTTCTTTGGATTGGTGTTGGAACTTTGTAACCTTTCTTCATCACACCCTTAAAGACAGGATAACTAAGACCTGGAAAACAAAATGTAAATGTCAAGCACAATAAATATTTTCTACAACGCTAAGAGGCAGACAGAAGTCTTTTCTTTAAGGTAATAATACTTATTGCAAGTTAAACGGGCCAAATATTAGATTATATTACATTATTTACTAATACACATGGTATTATTAAAAAAGGCAATAGAAGTGTTTTACCACCTGCTGTCCGGCCGTTGTAATTAAACGGCCGGACAGCGGCTTCCTGAATGCGGGTGGGCGTTTTAAATCGTCTCATCCCGCTCTGCGGCCGGAGATCAAATGGAGCTCGGTATACGAGCTCCATTTGATCTCCTCCTCCTCTTCCGAATGCAGGAAGTGATGTGTAACTTCCGCATTCCTCTGTCACTCTCCGGTACAGAAACCGGAGAGAAGATGGCGAAGCAGGTCTCTGCATCATCAGCTTCTCTGGGGGTCCCCAGGTGACATTAGGGGTCTTAAAGACCCCTGATGTCTCCATAAAGAGGACCTGTCACTGCAAATTGGCTATCACATTGGGAGCTTGTTTGCTAGCAATAAAGTTAAGTGGAAAAAAAAAAGGTTAAAAAAAAAATAGGATTTTGTACTCACCGTAAAATCCTTTTCTCTCCGTTCATTGAAGGACACAGGCAACAGATCGTAGATCCTGAATGGTAGGGTAATATCGCCACCTGCAGGAGAAGGACGCTAGGCACAAAACTAAAGACCAATTACAGCCTAGGGGCGGCCCCTGCCGGTGGCCAAACCCCCCACCTGCTGACAAGTCTCCAGTTTAGTAACAAGCAGTTAGGAGTGTACACCCCATAAAGAGGGCGGGGCCTGTGTCCTTCAATGAACGGAGAGAAAAGGATTTTACGGTGAGTACAAAATCCTATTTTCTCTCCCGTTCATTGAAGGACACAGGCAACAGATCGTAGATCCTGAATGGTAGGGACGTCACCAAGCAGTAACACACTGAGGGATGGGCAACAATAAAACACCCAAAAGACCCCTCAAAGCGCCGCCTGCAACACTTTGCGCCCCAAACCAGCATCTGGCAATGCTAACACGTCCACCTTGTAGAACTTAACAAAGGTGTGAACAGAAGACCAAGTAGCGGCCTTACAAACCTGAGAAACAGAGGCCCCGTGGCGGAAAGCCCAGGAAGCCCCAACAGCCCTAGTAGAATGGGCAGTGACAGGAAATGGAGGCTCACGCCCTTAACGGCGTATGCCTGAGTCACAACAGTACGTATCCACCTAGAGATGGTAGCCGCCGACGCGGCCCAACCCTTACGAGGACCCTCCGTGAGCACGAACAGGGAGTCGGTCCCGCGGAAAGAAGCCGTAGCTTCCAAATAAACACGAAGAGCGCGAACCACATCCAAACAGTGGAGCGCACGCTCCTTCCTATGAACCGGCTTTGGACACAGGGAAGGTAAGCCAATGTCCTCATTCAGATGGAATGCCGACACAACCTACGGCAGGAACGCCGGCCGAGGACGGAGAACCGCCTTGTCCCGATGCAAAACCAGCAATGGGGACTTGCAGGACAAGGCAGCCAACTCCGACACCCGCCGAACGGAAGTGATGGCCACCAAAAAGGCCACTTTCTGTGACAAAGATATAAGCGGAATCTCCTGAAGAGGCTCAAACGGGGATTCCTGCAACACTGAAAGTACGAGATTCAAATCCCACGGAGCCAAAGGCGCGCGGACAGGGGGAGCAATGCGCGTCACCCCCTGAACAAAGGTGCGAACCAGAGTATTAGACGGCAAAGGCCGCCGGAAAAGCACCGCCAAGGCAGAGATTTGGCCCTTCACAGTACTCAAGGCCAGCCCCTGAGCCACCCCGCGCTGCAGGAACGCAAGGATTCTGCAGATGGAGAATAAACGCGGGGACAAGGCCCCAGCCCCACACCAGGCAAAATAGGCCCTCCACGTGCGATGGTAAATTTGTCCAGAAACCGCTTTGCGCGCTCTGAGCATAGTGGAAAGGACCGCATCGGACAACCCCCGGTCCTTCAGGACCTGGCTCTCAACAGCCACGCCGTCAAAGCCAGCGACTGTAAAGAAGGATGGAACACAGGACCCTGGGACAGAAGATCGGGATGCAGAGGCAGACGCCACGGGGCGTCCACCACAAGCTGAACCACGAGGACGACGGTGACGCCCTTGACCGCGATCCGACGCAGCAGCCGAGGCAACAGACATAGTGGAAGAAAGGTGTAAATCAGACCGTAAGGACCCCAAGGGGCCACCAGGGCATCCACGGCCTCCGCCCAGGGATCCAGGGCCTTGGTCACAAAACCTGTCCACCTCGCGCTTGAACCGAGACGCCAGAAGATCCACCTCCGGCGTCCCCCAGCGACGACAGAGCTGCTAAAAAACCTCCGGGTGCAGAGACCACTCCCCCGGATCCACCGACTGTCGACTGAGGAAATCGGCCTGCCAATTGTCCACTCCCGGGATGTAGATCGCCGAGAGAGCCAGAACTCGATGTTCCGCCCAGGACAGAATCCCGAACACCTCTCGACCCGGGCCACGCTTCTCGTGCCGCCCTGGTGGTTGATGTACGCCACCGCGGTGGCGTCGTCCGACTGGACCCGGACCGCCAGACCCAGGAGCCGGGCCGACCAATGAAGAAGAGATAGGCGAATCGCCCGAAGTTCCAACACATTTATCGACAGACGGGACCCCTCCGGCGACCAACGACCCTGCACGGTCAAGGAGCCCAGGACCCCGCCCCAGCCCCAAAGGCTGGCGTCCGTGATGACCACCGTCCAATGCACTGGAAAAAAAAAAGACTTCCCCCGCACCAAGACGGGGGATGGAAGCCACCACCACAGGGAGGCCCCCGCCTCCCGAGAGATCCGAATCTCCCTGTCCAAGGACAGGGGGGACTTGTACCACTGTACCAGGATGTTCCCCTGTAGGGTCCTGGTATGGTGTTGCGCAAAAGGCACCGCCTCGAAGGAGGCCACCATGAGACCCAAGACCTGCATGCAAAACCGAATGGGCGACCACTGGTGAGCCCTCAGTAGCCGGACCTTGGAAGAATGCGACTCTGCCCGCAGGAGCAGATCGTCCAGATACCCCACGATCGAAACCCCCCCGACAACGCAACAGCGCCAGAATCGGGGCTAGCACCTTGGTGAACACACGTGGGGCCGACGCCAGCCCGAAGGGCAGCGCCACAAACTGAAAATGGTCCTCCCCCACCGCGAAACGAAGATACCGCTGATGAGACTCGCAAATGGGTACATGAAGGTATGCATCCCGGATATCGATGGAGGCCAGCAGATCCCCCTGACGGAGCCATGCCACCACGGACCGGATGGACTCCATCCGGAACCGACGGACCCGCACGAAGGCGTTCAAGCGTTTGAGGTCCAGGATGGGCCGCACCCCCTCTTTCTTGGGCACAGTAAACAGGTTTGAATAAAACCCTTTGAAGCTTTCCGCGGAGAGAACAGGCACAATCACCCCCTGGGACCAAGGGTCCGCCACCGCGCGATGGGGATCCGCCAACCGCGAAGGGGATAGTCGCGTGTTGGATGGGAAGAAATGGTTGCCCGGACGGGACAGAAACTCGATCTTGTAGCCCGAAGAAACCAGCCCCCGGACCCCAGAGTCGGAGACGTGGGACAGCCAAAAATCCGCGAAGAGCCGAAGGCGGCCCCCCACCCCGGGACCCGGAGTCGGGGCCCGACCTTCATGCGGACTGGGGCTTGCCGGCGCGTCTGGCAGACTTTGGCTGCCACGGACGCTGGGAGGATTGGGAAGAGGAGGGTATGTTAAACTTACCGCGGGGCGAAAAAAAGTAGGCCCAGGCTTCCGGCGCTGTTCCTTCTTGCGCGCCTGGCGGAGGAAGGTACGCTTACCCCCGTCAGATCCTTAATGATCTCATCCAAGGTGGAACCAAACAGACGGTCCCCAGTAAAGGGCAGTTCCTGAAGAGCCTACTTGGAAGCCTGGTCTGCCGACCAGCACTGAAGCCAGAGCAAACGGCGAAGCGTCACCGCTGACATCGACACCCTGGACACCAAGGGCGCCGCATCCAAGCCGAATCACAGACATAACGCAGGCCCAGCACCAACTGGTCCACCATTCCACAAAGGCGGGGGAGACGTTCTCCTCCGCAAGACCCTGATGTAACATTTCAGCCCACTCAGTTAGAGTCGAGAGACCAAAGCCGAAGCCAAGACCGGACGCATGAGAGCGCCAGAGAGAGTACAGGGACCGCAAAAGCGCCTCAGGATTCCTATCGGAAGGATCCTTCAAGAACGGAGAATCCTCCACCGGGACAATCGTGGCCTCGTTTAAATGAGAGACCGGCGGGTCCACCACCGGTGGCGAAGACCACTTAGCCACAAAATCCTCCTCAAAAGGATAGCGAACCGAGAACCGTTTCGGAACCGCAGAGGACTTAGTAAATTTTTTTAGCTCCTTACTCCTGACGCTAGGCAAAAAACTGGAGACTTGTCAGCAGGTGGGGGGTTTGGCCACCGGCAGGGGCCGCCCCTAGGCTGTAATTGGTCTTTAGTTTTGTGCCTAGCGTCCTTCTCCTGCAGGTGGCGATATTACCCTACCATTCAGGATCTACGATCTGTTGCCTGTGTCCTTCAATGAACGGGAGAGAAATGTAAGTTACAAAAAAATTAGAAAAATGAAAAGTCACATTTCAAAGCAATAAAAAAAAAAAATAATGTTTAAATTAAAGTCCCTCGCTCCCACAAACATGCGTCGAGTCCGCCTACGTGCGAAAACGACGATTACATCCATTGCGCCGCACATGTTACATATCGCCGCGAACGCCGGAGTGAGAGCAATAATTATAGGGCCATTAGTCACTGATAACACTAAACTGATGAGGGGTAAAAGCTTTTAAAGCGTCGGCTATGGTCAATTTTGGGTATGGTAGTATTTAGCGGGTGCGCGCAATTTTAAAGCTTGACATGTTTGGTGTCTATTTACCCGACGTGACCTCGTCTTTTATATTTTACCAAAAAATTGGGTAATAATAAAATGTTTTATAACATAAAAGTAGGGAGCACAGTTTATTTTTTTACAAAATTTTCGGTACTTTTTTCATCATATAGTAAAAAAAACAACAACAAAAAAACCTGTAGTGGTGATTAAATACCACCAAAAGAAAGCTCTATGTGTCCCCAAAAAATGGTATAAAATTCATTTCAGTACAGCATTGCATGACGGAATAAATGTCAGTCAAAGTACCACAGCGCTGAATACTGAAAAATGGCCTGGATGGGAAGGGGGTGAAACACCCCGGTCAGCAAGTGATTAAAGGGTAAGTATTTTTATATAGTTATCCTTCAAGTAACACCCCCTAAGTCTTAAAGAGGAATTTCACCGTCATCTTAAAAATGACAACAAAGGCACCTTTATAAATGTTCAGTAATGACAGTCTACAAACAGATAATTATAGATCATTGCAGGCTTTTCATTCTTTACAATTCATATTTTTCTTTTCCTCCCTGTTCTTCCCACAGTGGCCATTTTTACTAAGGGCAAATTAATACATCTCCCTTTACTTCCTGGAACTCAGGCACATGTGACTGTGCACATAATCTCATAGGAATAAAATGCATTTTCCCTGAGATCTTGCAAGATATTGCAGTTTATAGATAAGGTTTCCCAGCAATGCACTGGTGATGTAACCTTCCCAGGATGCATCTGTTAGGAGAGGATTACATTACTAATGCCTAAGAGTACAAGCAAGTGGAAAAACAGTAATTGTAAGTAAAAGCAAAATATGTTTAAGTAATGAATGATTTAATACCCGCAAGCAGATGCGATTGTTCGTGAAAGGGGGTAAAGGTTTAAGCTTGCCATACACTGTGCGTGGCCCTGCACCCCTCTATTGAACAATGGTCAACTTTTAAGCCAACTTTTGTGGAATGAGCCGGTCCAGAAGTTCTCCGCTGGACAGTGACGGCAGCCAATCATTGTTCAAGTAATCCGAAAGCCGGCTGCAATAGCCACTGCAGGAGATTTCTCCATCCACAGTTTTAATTTCAATAGGTTTTTATTTGGGTATTTTCAGTTATACAAAGCGAATAAAGAGTATTCAAAAACGAAGAAAGTCCGGGTAGGACCAACAGATCGAAATAAGAAGCAGGTAAAAGGTACAGGTACTGTGCTAATAAAGCGTGTCTAATTCCGTCTTGGTGGAGCCAGAGGAGGTTCCAGTCATAACATCAGAGATTCTCACGAGTCACTATTAGTGAATATCATGGGGCGGGTGTGTTTTGCTGAGACCACAGACACCAGGGCAGCTATTTCTTTTGGAAGCTCCCTGTTGAACTATTTCGATTCGCAAACACTAGTTCGGATGTGTAGTGTAGCTGTATTATCTGCATAGTTTCAGGTGTGTTGGGTGCTTGTGGGCTTTTCCAGTGTCTTGCTATTGTAAGCTTGGCCGCTAGGAGGATATGGATTATAATAGCTCTAAGGTTGTTGGGGTATTGATCTATGCCTACATGGAGGGCTAGGTTTGATGTGGGCTCTATAGGGAGGCCCGTCACGGCTGACAGAATCTGGAAGATCATCTTCCAAAAGCTAGTGAGGGATTTGCAGGACCAGTAGGTGTGTATTATTGTGCCCGCAAGGCAACAGCCCCTCCAACACAAAGCAGTGGCAGATAAGGGCATTTTAGCCAAGTTGGAAAGGGTCAGATACCATCTCAATAGTGTCTTCTGAGCCAGTTCCCACATGTCTACACATCTAGTAGCCTTCCATGTTTCTCTGAAGGAAATCAGCAATTGAGACTCAGGGCCATACCTCGTTCCCAAGCCCCCATCCACAGTTTTAGGCGGTGGATAGAGGGATCTGTTAGATTTTGTTTTTTGTTTGGACTGCACTTAAGAAAAAAACAAAAAACTAATAGTGTATGGTCAGCTTTATATTCACCTGCCCACGCTGTAGGGAAGGGGAAGGGATGTAACAAAGGATAACTTTAAGTATAGGAAGGTGGTCACTGTTGCATGTACTGTATATCTAAAAAAAAAGGCATTGATGTTTCATTCATTTATGTGGGTCTGGGCTAATTTTTATTACCAGGTACAATGTATGAATGTCCATTCACTGTCCCCCGCGGAATTTTGAGTATCGAGTAGCGATATTTATATGTCGGTACTCGCCTATACAGAGTACGGATACTGGTACTTCCGATAGCATGGAGCCGGCTTGCCGGGCAATCAGGAAGCCAGGCGGCGTGTCATTACCTGTTGCTTGGCTTCTTGACTGCTTGGGAAGCTGACTCCATGCTGTTTGGGCAACTCCATGCTGATTGGCAATTAGCATTGCGCTGGCTTCCCGGCCAATCAGGAAGCTGGGAGACGGGTGATTACCTGCCGTCTGGCTTCCTAATTGACCAGGAAGTCAGCTCTATGCTGATCAGCATGCTGATGGAGCTGGCTACCCGGCCAATCAGGAAGCTGGGCGGCGAGTCATTACCCACCGCCCGGCTCCCGATTGGCCAGGAAGCCATGTTACCTCGCGGCACTGCCGGTCAGAGGAAACCTCCTTCTGACCGGAAGTTCCGGTATCGGGGGTTAGTATCGGAGCATTTGGGCGAGTACTTGCTCAAATACTCGGTATCGGTGGATCCCTAACTCCCAGCCACTGTCTGCTATGTTAACATTCAGCTGCCTCAGCAAGCAGCTGTCATTCCCCAGCTAAAGCTATTGAAGTGGAAAGGCAACACTATGGGTCTAATATACCCCTACTGTCACCTTAAAGAGAACCTGACACATCCAATGTGCTATCATAAAGTGGCTTGTGAGCCCTCCCATGTGATAGCAATGAAGTTGAGAGAAAAAAAAAGAAAAAAGAAGAAAGAAGAAGTTTTACAAAATGAAGTTAAAAAAATACAATTAAAAATACCAAAAATAAATAAAATGTAAAGTCCCCCTGCCCCCACGAATGTGCGCATACTAACGGAAACACAAGTCAGGTGCACCTACGTAGGAAAATGACGATTGTGCTACATATGTCAGCTATCGACGCATGCGCCAATAAAAACCGTAATTACAACCATCGTTGAAAATAAAGCTTTTAAACTTTTAGCTTAAAAAAAACAAAAACAAAACCCTGGGTCCTAATTTTTTTAGCTGGCTCCTAGATTCAAAGCAAATGTATCAAGCCCTGATGTAGAGGTTAAGCAATGTTCCACACTGCAGCTCTAGTTCCACCTATGTCTGTGAAGATTCTCATTCATCCAGGTCATGGTATATCTGTAAAAAAATAAGGCAACTGGACATGTATTTTTCTTGAAGACGTTTCACTGGGCATCCAACCAGCTTTCTCAGTTCAAGACGTTCTGAATTGAGAAAGCTGGTTGGATGACCAGTAAAACGTTTTCAAGAAAAATACAACAAGTCCAGTTGACTTGACTTATTTTTTACTGATAACGTTCCACCTAGTTAGGTCCTTACAATGTTTTTTTCAAATGCAACAGACAAAAACATACCCATTGACTGGAACCCTCCTGACTTCTTTTTCTTTTTGTTCTGTGCTCGAACCAATTGTCTAGTGTCCAATTCTGTATCCGAACCACCATCTGCAGTGGGGAATGATGGGAGGTGCTTTATAGGGGGGGAAAAAGAATAGTACTCTTAACACATTTGGCATTTTATGGAAGGAAAAGATTGGTTGTCAAAGCAGCTTGGAAGTAATTCAATGTTTTCAGATGTTGTATTTTCTATTTTCTCCTAAAGGAGAACTATGAGGTGAGTAATTTTCACTCAGCCTCATAGTTCTAGCCGACTTGTGACAATGAGACTGTCACAGGTCGGCTCAGTAGATCGAGAGGTGAGCGAACACATACCGGCGCTCGCTCACATCTCGATCCTGTGTCGGCATCACACTACTAATCATTGCAATGAGCTACAATGCAGGTGCATTAGGATGACATTTAAAATAAATGGCACCACAATGCAGTAACACGTTACATGCATTATCTTGAGACAGAATTGTGAATTCAATCTAAGAGTTGTCACTAAAAACAGGAAAAGGGGGAACTATATTTCAATAGGCGTTCCAGTAAGAACTGTGTAAGTTGAGGGGTTCTCACTTGGGACAGGAAGTGAAGGGAAATCTCCCTAACAGGACTCAAGACAGCAAAACATAAACTGACAGGCGTTTTAACCCTTTCTTACTATATCCAAAACAAAATAGATTTGGCTAGATAGAAGATGAACCGATTTCCCTAGGTCTTGTCTCAGAAGCTGACAGTTCCCTGACTGCTCAAATAAATGTGCACATGTCTATGGGATATCGTTCGTCTGTGCTCTCACCACTCCATCTTGTTCTGGGACCCCGGAGGTGACATCAAACTCCCCTGTGTCGCTCTCCTCTTCTCCTCGGTCCTTAGCCGGTTTCCGTGTCCTGTGTCCCTTCCGCTTCTTCTGAGCCATGTCTATACTTCTTCCCTTCAGTAATCAGCCTTGACAAGTCCCAGACACCAGAAATCCCCGACCAATCCCACCAGAAAGCAGACTTTCCAACTCAGACGGGTCACACACGTGTCCCCGCTGCACCCGGAAGTGATTGCGCGCAACTTCCTGGGTTGTACCATAGCGCTCGGAATACGGGGGCGACTATTTTTTTCAGTTTTCTTTAGATATGGTATCTGTTTCTTATCTACCTCCTAGCAGGCTGAAACCGAGTGAGGATGATGAGATACGGGTATCGGAGGAGCTTAGTGTGTGTCAGGACCGGAGGGTTTAGGAGAAGGATCCTCCCGGGATGATTGGACGGCTCCAGGCTGGAGGTGTTTGTGTTATCACCATGGGAGCCCGGAGCTGAGCTGTACGGTAAGATCTATGGCATTCAATGGCTGCTGGTAGTGATGATTGTTTAGTTATCTGAGCACCCCCCTTCATTCATCTCCTGCACTGTCCTCCCACTACCAAGCCAAAACCTGTGCTGTATCAATGGAAGGAAAATATTCACTTTAGTGAATTTTCTTCTCTGCCGGTCTGGAAGAAAATAATCCCTGTGTAAGTTCTAGTCAGAGTTTACACAGAGCTCTGTGCTCTCCCCATCCCATGTGACAGTGCTGAGCCAATCACCAAGCACCAGACAGTGCTGGGCCACTCACTATTACGGTAGTATCAGCCCTGTCACAGCCCAGATTTTCAACTCATTGAATAAATCAGCCTTGTGTGAGGTCAAGCAGTTAACAGGGCAGGAAATGTCAAATCCCAGACACTTTGGGGTCTTTTATAAAATAATTTGCATTAAACTGCATGTACATTTGTTCTGTGCAAGTTAAAGGGGAACTTTACCCACCAATTTAATGTCTCCCAAATCAGTTACATTTAAGGCATGCCAGCTGTCAAGTTGCCAGTGTGCCTATTTCAGCTCTCAACCGAACCGTCAAGCTCTCAAATGATTGATATAATAGCTGATCACATGTCTTGCACCATGGCAACCGCAATCCAATATAGCCTAAGGCCCCGTTCATATTGAGCGATTCGCAAATCGCGCGTTTGTCGCGCGATTTGTGTGATATCGCGTAAATGCTTGCATCAAAAACCATTTTTAATCGCGGCAAAATCCGCTCCAAAAAGGGTCCTGCTGTAGCGACACACGACCCGCGACAGCAGGACCCTTTGCCCCATTGCAAAGCATTGAAGAGCGATATCGCGCGGTAAATAGCCGCAATATCGCAGGAATTACCGCACGATAAATCGCTCAATGTGAACGGGGCCTTAGATGGCACCTTCCTCGGCTGTAGGGGGTAGGAGAGCATAGTTTCACTTTAACCAGCTGTTGTGAGAATGGGGCAAAATTAATGTTCTTAATGTCATTTCTTTTCTGGCTGAGTGTTCTGAGACAATGCTACATTATGGTCACTAGATGGCGGCGAGGATCATAGAAAATAATATGCATTGCATCTCCTTATTAGCGTGCATTTATTTCCTATGATCCTCAGCGCCATCTAGTGGTCATAATGTAGTATTTTCACTGTTTCACATGGACCACATGGATGAACCTATCAAAGAACATTTGGACCGGAAAATAAAAACACTAAGAACATTAATTCTTGCCTCATTCTCACAGCAGCTGGTTAACTCTCACAGAACGAATGTACATGCAGTTTTGCTGGACAAAAAAGCTATGCAATTTTTCTATAAATAGACCCTTTAAGCTGTGTTGTCAGACTCAAAGTAAAAAAAAAGAGGACAATATATAAAGCTTTCATAAGTTAAAAAAAAAAAATTGCAATTTTAATAAAGGCTGAAAAATGAATGTCCAAGTGAAGGGATAGCAGCATTTTAGTCTTGGATATATATTCTAATTGCTTGTTTACACTTGATAGTGGAGTTAAGAATGTTGCACTGTTTATGATTTGATGTCATTTCTTTTATTGTTTTGACTGGTAATTCATATGAATGTCACTTAAATATGCAGTCATTGTGTAGGTGAAATGTGCAGGAAGGCAAAACCTTCTGAATATGAGGTCAAATTACTGGATATTAAGCAGGCTTATTATAAGTATGGCTTGTGGTGATAATTGTGACCTTCTATGTTCCATTTTTAGGTCATTGGGCTTGGTTTTATGAATGCCGTAGATATGTCTCTGGACCTCTCCATTACGGGACATAGTTCCTCATTTCCTCCAAGAAAGACCAGAAGTGCATATAGATTTAAAGCTGCTAAGTCCTTTGTTGATGAGACCCTCTTTGGCGGCTTTGGCAACAAAGTAGATCCAGCCCTTCAGTGGACCACAGGTTCTCCAGGTCAGGTATCTCTTTCGTGGCGTCCAGAAGAGGAAAAGGAGTCTAAAGGTCGTACCATCAGCAGGACTAGCTGCACCCCACCAGGGACACCTCGGAGGAAAATCCATTATAGGTAGGCATTGCCTTCCAGGAATTTTAAAAAAACGTACCCTTACAGTGGGGCTACCCTCACTTGTTTTGTCTAGGGGGCTCAAATAAGGCAGATATACTTCACTGATCCTTGGTCCTGCAGTGGATGGCACTCACCTCCCTCCCACTCTGCTCCAGCTGTGGAATGTCCTTCTGTATCTTCACATCTAATGAACCTGCGTTAGATGTAATGGCATCAGCAGTCCTTAGTCCTCACTGGAGTCCAGAGAAGAAGAGGCTGCGGGGGCCAGGCAGCCCATGCGGGACTGACGATCAGGTAACTATCAGCTTAATTTAACCACCTCCCACCTGAGACAAAATGAGCCCCATTGCAAGGGTAAGTTGCTGTTTTTTTTTTCTTTAAATAAAACAATCTACAGGCATATTTCTAAAGCACTGAGCAGCAATGTGATAGCAAGAATTTATCATATTAGGATTTAGGAAAAAAATGGTTACTAGAAAACTTTGGATATCATCATTGCTCTTTGTCCTGCCCCATTAGCTGGTCATTGTAGTCAATAAGGGGTCTGTTTATAAGCCATTCACAGAGCCATTCATCCTGTGAAACTCTGTAGGCTTTGGTTTTGTGCGAATGGAGGCAAATATGAACATTCTTAGTATATTTTCTTTTCAAGTTAAATGCAATATTAGGAGAATGCCGCATTACGGCCACTGGGGCTGATGAGCAAAGGAAATAAGTAACTGACTTTTCTTTCATAACTCAGCTTGCCTAGTTAAACTAATCAAAGGGTGAGTACTAAAACACCAGTTTTGGATGAGGCTGGCAATCAGTATGAGCACTAATATACGGTGAAGGGAATTTATCAAAACTGGAGCAGCTGTGCATGGCAACCAATCAGCTTCTCTCTTGCATCTTCAAATCTTAACTGAACAAACTGAAGAGAGAAGCTGATTGGTTGCCATGCACAGCTGCTCCAGTTTTGATCAATCCCCCCAGTATGCCTTTCATTATATCTCCCTCTTATTCAGGGTAAAGAGCCGCTCACCATCATATTGTGATGAGTCACTGTTTGGACCAAAAGTGGAGGAGTGTGGTTGGGAAGCGCCATGGGTAAAGAAAGAAGATGCTGTCCGGATTCGCCCCCTACTCTGGAGCCCACCCCCAGTTGTGCGTCCACAGAGCTCCAAGTCAAGTACCAAACAACTTCCTCTCAAAGCTGTACACCCTCATGATACTGGAAGCAGATCTTTGGAGACACAGAGGATGAAAGAAGACTTCTGGAAACCACCGGACAGTGACTCTGATTCTGGAGGATGTCCCTCTGGGGCTGGCCCCCCATCCAGTGCAACAGTTCGCTATAGCTCATCTGGAAAGAACCCTGTTCGATCTGCAAGCTGCTCAGGAAGACTGACTGCGAGGAGAGGCTCTATGACAGAACGACCACCATGGAAATGATGTCGATCCTGTATTTAGCAGATTGGTCTGAAATTATGTATATAGCAAGACGTATGTACTGTATGTATGTAAGATTATGTCTTGGCTAGTCAAGAGGTTAGAAGGAATGAAAGTGGGAGGAGCCATTCAAATTTGTTAAAGTGTAGGCAGATATAAAAGTCTAAAATTAAAGCAGTTACTCTATTTATTTAGCAAAATACTTGAATGTATTTTTAAATAGTGCCTCAACCTGTTTTCGTTCTAGCCTCCTGTAATTCCCTGTACAACAGCTTTTAGTCTGGGAAAGGGTGAGGGGGGCCTTGCAAGCTTTAGTGTATTGCATAGGGCTGTAGTCTAAAGGTGCCCATACACTGCTCGATTCTCGTACGAGAATCGGGCGAAATCCCGCGATCGTACGAGAATCGAGCAGTGTGAACTAAGACGTGCGACCGTTTCTACTGTACGGTCGCACGTCTTTTGTCGAGCCAACATGCTTGAAAACCAGCCGAGAATCGTACGATTCTCGGTGGGTTTCTAGCCTGCTAGCCCGATAGCTGCGGAACGGGCCAGTGTGCGCACGCGCACACTGCCCGTTCTAGATTGCCGTCATCGGAAGCCCGCCCCTCAGCGCAAGTACGATCTGCCCGTCCAAGGTGGGCAGATCGTACGGGCTTTTAATGAGCATACGACCATCGCAAGACAAAAGTCTTGCGATGGTCGTAAGGTGTATGGGCACCTTAACAAATGGAATTTGCTGATTGGAGGAGAGAGCAGTGCAGCTGCTGTTTTTTTCAGTATTTAGGGACAGTCTTAATTAAGCTGTATTGCTAAGAATTTTCTGGGGAGGGGTTGCCAGATGAGACAGTTCACACATATGTATTTCAGTTTTGTGTTTAGAAGTACGCCTACACTTACACTTTAAAGAAGATCTCCAGGTTTTAGAAGAATTAACCCTTGCATTGGGGCTACCCCTGCACTGCAAGGATTAACTGCTCGTTTTTCACTAGTTGCTCAAATAAAGAAGAAATACTCACCCGATCCCGCCTGGCTGCTAGACTTCTGTCCCCTGGGCTCTGGTGGTCTAAGTCCCACTGAAGTCATCATGTCTAATACAGTCCATTCATCTGCATTAGACAGGAGGACAGCAAGGGACATACCAGAGCATACCAGAGCAGAGGGGGACAGAGATGCGCGCTCACTGCTGCTGGACTGAGGATCAGTTGAGTATTTTTGCTTCATTATCGCCCCTAGAGAAAAACAAGAACTTAACCCCCTGCAGTGCGGGGGGAGTTCCACTGCAAGGGTTATGTTTTCTAAAACCTGGAGTTCTTCTATAAAATGTATAGGCAGTTTTGAAGCAAATGATGTGATAAAATGGGAAGATTATGAAAGATATCCCCAATCCTCCATGGTTTTTTTTTATAGTTATTATAGTTATTAAAGTGTGCTTTTTATTACCATTCACATTATTCACTAGGACACATATTAGCATAATCAAATCACATTAATATTCTGGATAAAAGGTCCCACTGTAGGTAAAGACTACACAGTCTCAGGATTCCAAGAACATTGTTGGCGTAGGGTTTAGCTCTGCTAAAAACACATATGTCATAGAGATTCATGAAACTGTATGTAGAATGCATAAAACCTTAAAACCCTTGTGGTGTATTCTTTACTGTTTGTTTTCCTCTTGGGAGATTTCCTTTCAGTCTCTGCCCCAAAGACACAACAGGGAAGGAGAAGAAATCTCTACAAAGTGAGAGGAATTCTCTGCTTATACAGGTGTCACCGCAACAGGTATTCCCATTGGAAGATTTTCCCTCTATGCCTGTTCTGGTGACAACTACAGAATATTGGGTTTCCATCATTTTCTGTACCGGTGACACCATATGCCACCAGAGGTGACCGCAGTATTAACCTGACAGAGGTTATAGCTCTTATCAATCTATCCAAAACAAAACAAAAAAGCATTCGTAGACAATAGATGAAGTTTAGGGTATTGGTTGGCTTTGGAAGGATGCTGTTAAAGGACCTAAAGTTGTGGGATGGTTTGGTTGGTACAACAGAATGGTGATTCTTCCTCCTTTCACCTGTGTAGTCAAATCTTAAAGGAGAGCCGATGCCAAAACCTTTTATTTATGTAGGTTTTGGATAGAGAGAGGGAGGTTTATAACGCCGGTCAGCTTTTGTTTTTTGCCATCTGGGGACTTACCTTCACCTCCTGCCCGATAGCCACAAGGAGAAGTGATGGAAATTCCTAGTGGTCATCAGAATTAGTGTCCCCATTGGAAGATTTCCCCTCTTTTTTTCCTGTTCTGATGATAACCCAAAATTTTGGATTTTCTGTCACTTTCTGTGATAACGGTCACTAGGACAAACGGTTAGTGAGGACCACTCTCCAAAATGGGGACAGACAGCAATAAAACCCTGACAGATGTTCTAATCCCTCTCCACTCTATCCAAAACTAAAAAAAAAGTTTTAGCTTCAGTTGCATTTAATTCATTCCTTATCAGGAGACCTTACGTTCTGATAAAATGTTTCAGTGTGAGGAATAATTGTAAGGAACTCCAGAAAAAATGTTTCCTAACACTTGTAGTGGGGCTACCCCCGCACTGCAAGGGGTTAGTGCTTGTTTTGGTCTAGTTACAAATATAAAAAAGCTGTAGTCACCTGATCCTCTGAGCCAGCTTGCTCTTAGACGGGTCCCTGCAGTCTCGCTCCCTCTCCTCTGCAGCTTTCTAAGCTCCCAGAGTCATCACGTTTTATACACAGAGTATAGACCATGAAGACACTGAGGGACATGCCATCACTGCAGCGGAGGAGGAACAGGCTGGAGGGAGCGGTGTAACAGCCAGCCGGCTCCGAGCTTTGGGTGAGTATAACATTTTTATTTTTGTACCGAGACCAAAATGAACTCTTAACCCTTGCAGTGCGGGGGTAGCCCAACTACAGGTGTTAGGAAAAATTCTCCCTGGAGTTCTTCTGTAAACAATTGGCTCTAATCGTTCTAGCTGTAAACAAGAGCAAACATTGTTAGAATTGTGTCTTTGCTTTCATTTTAAAGGTAGAAACCTGTTTTTAAAACCTGTATTTGTTTTTGTCTTTTCTCGCATTATGACCCTTGCCTGTACTTTCTAGCATTATGACCCTTGCCTGTACTTTCTAGCATTATGACCCTTGCCTGTACTTTCTAGCATTATGACACTTGCCCCTGTACCTTCTAGCATTATGACCCTTGCCCCTGTACTTTCTAGCATTATGACCCTTGCCCGTACTTTCTAGCATTATGACCCTTGCCTGTACTTTCTAGCATTATGACCCTTGCCCGTACTTTCTAGCATTATGATCCTTGCCCGTACTTTCTAGCATTATGACCCTTGCACCTACTTTCTAGCATTATGACCCTTGCACCTACTTTCTAGCATTATGACCCTTGCCCGTACTTTCTAGCATTATGACCCTTGCCTGTACTTTCTAGCATTATGACCCTTGCCTGTACTTTCTAGCATTATGACACTTGCCCCTGTACCTTCTAGCATTATGACCCTTGCCCCTGTACTTTCTAGCATTATGACCCTTGCCCGTACTTTCTAGCATTATGACCCTTGCCTGTACTTTCTAGCAATATGACCCTTGCCTGTACTTTCTAGCATTATGACACTTGCCCCTGTACCTTCTAGCATTATGACCCTTGCCCCTACTTTCTAGCATTATGACCCTTGCCTGTACTTTCTAGCAATATGACCCTTGCCTGTACTTTCTAGCATTATGACACTTGCCCCTGTACCTTCTAGCATTATGACCCTTGCCCCTACTTTCTAGCATTATGACCCTTGCCTGTACTTTCTAGCAATATGACCCTTGCCTGTACTTTCTAGCATTATGACACTTGCCCCTGTACCTTCTAGCATTATGACCCTTGCCCCTACTTTCTAGCATTATGACCCTTGCCTGTACTTTCTAGCAATATGACCCTTGCCTGTACTTTCTAGCATTATGACACTTGCCCCTGTACCTTCTAGCATTATGACCCTTGCCCCTACTTTCTAGCATTATGACCCTTGCCTGTACTTTCTAGCAATATGACCCTTGCCTGTACTTTCTAGCATTATGACACTTGCCCCTGTACCTTCTAGCATTATGACCCTTGCCCCTACTTTCTAGCATTATGACCCTTGCCTGTACTTTCTAGCAATATGACCCTTGCCTGTACTTTCTAGCATTATGACACTTGCCCCTGTACCTTCTAGCATTATGACCCTTGCCCCTACTTTCTAGCATTATGACCCTTGCCTGTACTTTCTAGCAATATGACCCTTGCCTGTACTTTCTAGCATTATGACACTTGCCCCTGTACCTTCTAGCATTATGACCCTTGCCCCTACTTTCTAGCATTATGACCCTTGCCTGTACTTTCTAGCAATATGACCCTTGCCTGTACTTTCTAGCATTATGACACTTGCCCCTGTACCTTCTAGCATTATGACCCTTGCCCCTACTTTCTAGCATTATGACCCTTGCCTGTACTTTCTAGCAATATGACCCTTGCCTGTACTTTCTAGCATTATGACACTTGCCCCTGTACCTTCTAGCATTATGACCCTTGCCCCTACTTTCTAGCATTATGACCCTTGCCTGTACTTTCTAGCAATATGACCCTTGCCTGTACTTTCTAGCATTATGACACTTGCCCCTGTACCTTCTAGCATTATGACCCTTGCCCCTACTTTCTAGCATTATGACCCTTGCCTGTACTTTCTAGCAATATGACCCTTGCCTGTACTTTCTAGCATTATGACACTTGCCCCTGTACCTTCTAGCATTATGACCCTTGCCCCTACTTTCTAGCATTATGACCCTTGCCTGTACTTTCTAGCAATATGACCCTTGCCTGTACTTTCTAGCATTATGACACTTGCCCCTGTACCTTCTAGCATTATGACCCTTGCCCCTACTTTCTAGCATTATGACCCTTGCCTGTACTTTCTAGCATTATAACCCTTGCCTGTACTTTCTAGCATTATAACCCTTGCCTCTGTACTTTCTAGCATTATGACCCTTGCCTCTGTACTTTCT